GAGAGAGAGAGAGAGAGAGAGAGAGAGAGAGAGAGAGAGAGAGAGAGAGATGTACAATTGCTGATACAGCGCTCGCTGTCGTTTCGCATTGTGTGCTCGGCCGAGAAGTATTTCGCTGGCCGAGCAATTTCAATCCAATCGACGCAACCTCGGCTGCCTTTCCTCGGCCATTTATACTGTTAGTAATACGAGCGACGACGTTTATATCTACACGCCGCCGGGCGTGGCGATGCGAATCGCGTGCACCGCTTCCCTCGAGAGGATATCCGGTGTAGAAACGCTCCCCCTCTCTTTCTCTCTCCCTCATTCAGCCCCCTCTCGTATTAGCTCTCTCTCCCTAGAACGTATACCTCGTCCTCTGTCCCTCCCTCCACCAACATCGCCCTTCTTTCATAACGCCGTAACAGCGCGTCCTCAATGAGTCGACGAGCAGTCGCATTCACGTCGGAAGTTTTACTCCGCGTGAAATACAACGAGCCCGCGATGGGACTTTTCGTGAATGCGCCACGTCTTCAATTCACGCCTGCACGCCTGTAAAAAGACCTTCCGGCAATCGAAGCGGAACCCTACAGAGTTCCTTCCAGGTTCCTGCGTTTTTTCCTAACTTTTTTTTCTCGTCCCTCTCCCTCCCTCCCTCTCCCTCCCTCCCTCTCCCCTCTCTCTTTCTCTCTCTCTCTCTCTCTCTCTGTAGAACTCCCGGAGTCAATGTTCAATAATAGATTTGGGAACAGTGGCTTCTTAGCATACACACTACGTTCAAATGTCCGCCGTAATAGAACGGTCTGTCGTTCGTCTCTTACGTTTGATTTAATTGAATTTTAATTGGAATTTAAACGCAGATGCAAATACATTTCGTTCCTCGGTAGCAAGTCGGTTGCTTCTTCCGAATCGATGGCGACGACTTCTCGTTGGTAGAACCGGCGAGACGAGGTAAATCCCGGTAATACGCGAAGATCGCGGAAAAAGAAGAAGAAGATACGCTCTCGGCCAGTTTTCCCTCCTCCTCCGATATTTTCCTGCGCCATCGCCTTCAGCAATTGCGGAGGTTAATTGCCGCTAATTAAGTAAGTCATTCGGCCGGGTATAAAGAGTTGGATATACTCGGAACGCCAGTGGCGAAATGTTATCCTCATTTTCACAATTACACTTTTCCCTCCTTGTCTCACGCGCACCCACCCCCCTTCCCCCTCACGGCATGCACGTTTCGCGCACGTTTTCTTACGGTATCTCGCCCGGGACTCGCTGTAACGCCTCGTTCCGATCGGGAGGCATTGCGTTTGCGTCGCCGCGTTAATATTCACCAAGCTGCCAGGCAGCTTCGTCGTCGCGTAAAAGATCCCCGGAAATTTTTGACTCATCGTTAACGCACTACGTATCTTGTTTTTCCTTTTATCGCGCGATCTTAATGCGTGTTTCAAAGAAAAACACACCCTGTGTGGAAGTCATCTTGGGTCTTGCTTTAACGCCTTAACGTTTCGCCGAATAATGCCTGTTTCTGTACACAGTGTGAGAGAAAAAATATCTAAGAAACAAAAGATGTTTATGCAGCGAGTGCTGATAACATATTTGCTTAAATCGAAGTTTTCTTTTGTTTAAATAGAATAAATAATTGCTCGAGATGAAAAGTTAGAGTTCTATGAAAATGTTTTTTTGTTTTTTATTTGAAATATATCTTATGTAAGTACACTAAGAATAAGATTATGTGAAAATTTCTTTGACAGCTTATTCACAGAAATGAACTTTACATCTGATAAATAAGTTTTCCAATATTTGTTCTCAATACAAATATGTTATTAATACTCGTCAAATAAATATTTCTTTTTCTCTCAGTATACCAATGTCGATTAAGTCTTAACCCGAGTTCAAATTCTATTCAGATCAAGATTCGAGCTCAAATCAAAATTTAATCAACATTGATGGAAACAGGCACTAGGGTTGATCTCTCTCTCACTCCCTTTCAAAAGTAATTTAAACTTTGATTAAAGTTTAAACTTTGCGCAAATACACTCAACACATTGTCACGGAACAGAGTTTAAAAACTCAAATTTAAGTTTAAATTACTACTAAAATATCGGGTCTAATTCGTGGTTGTCGTTGCAATTTTTACTTGATATCGATGCACAACGTGACGCGCCTCTGTTCTCGCTTGTGTTTCTTCGATCTCGTGTAAATCCTGCTCGAAGAATCTACGAGATCCTCGCCGAGCAGCCGAGCCACGTGATCAATGCGCGAGCACGTACGCACGTGCGCAACGCAGTTGCACTCGCACACCGGTGCGTATGTTTGTGTACGAAAGAGAGAGAGAGCGAGAGAGAGAGAGAGAGAGACGCGCGAGGACAACCTGCAGATGCATGAATGACTCGAAATGACGTGCGTTTATTGAGCTCGAGCCGAGCGACTCGCGCTCTCGGCTGCTCCCAGCAAGGACACGACATATTTTCTGACTTCGGCCAATGAGACGGACTTAAGCCGTGTAATACGCGATGCGAAGTATATACATCTATATGTATGTATGTATATATGCATGTTAACATAATACGCGGAAAAAACACACATACATACGTGTATGGGATGACAAACGCATCGATAAACCGTGACGAATAATCAGGTAAGGAAGAAATCGCGAGAAACACAACTTGCCGAGTCGAAATTTTGATTCTGCATTAATCTTGTGTAAAGAGAGCGGCTAAGCTCTCGTAAGATTTGAACCCCATTTTGTGGCCTCACTCGAAATATTAAATTACTTAAAAAAACAACAAATGTTTATTCTCATAATCTCTTTTCTCTTCTTAGCGTTGGAAATCTCTATTAAATCTGAAGCTCTTAAAAAAACTGATAAGGAGGAAGTTATAGGTAGACATATATAAAGATACTAATTATGTGTCCAATAATGTCGTGTTCTGATGGGACTTTAAATCTAAGTTCTATACAATAACAAGGCTAAACGGAAGTCAAAAGAAAACAGATGTAAACAACATCGTATTCGCTTAAAGAACATTTATTAGACATAAATTTGTGAAATTTATACTAGATTTTAAGGCTGGTATTCATAATTGTGAATGATTCATTTAAAATCTTTAATTGAGAATTAATCAATTAATTGGAAGATTAATTCATTTCTTTTCTTATTCCTTTTCATTCATAGGCTATTGTTAGGCTGTTTGAATCAATGTTTCTTGTATGAAATGATGTAATATAGGTATAGTCAGGAATTCATGAATTTAATTGTCAAATGCTGACGAACTATGAATGTCGGCCTTGAATGAATTTCGATTCGGCTATTTCTTTATCCTTGGTAAATTCGCAAGTGTACGTTTAAAACAACGGAACCATAAATGATTCGACACACCTTGAAAATATATGAAGCACCGCTGGCCGCAATCTGGCCTCTCGACCCAGCATCCTATCCTGGAAGTTCCGTCGTGGCACAGACACTAACATCGTTCACACTGGCACTCTGACACTCGTGCAGATACGATTCGATCAAGAGTACGTGTCAAATAACGCGATGCCGACGAAATGCTGATTGAATATTTCAAGAACCGATGAAATATTTTAATAAGTCGCGGGCGAATGAAAAATAACGTATTAGTATATGTAGTGGTCCGTGACGCACGCGCCTTATTTGTTGGTTCGATAAGTTATGAATACTCAACATTCGCGACGCACAAAGGTACGTTTGATCGCCTCGAAGGTCCGGAATGTTTTGATTGTTGTGATCGCTCGAGGTTTGGTGACAACGAACAACGGTTGGCTATTGATAGGAGGGAATAAGTTTATTCTTTTTGTCGATTGTTTGATGCTCTCACGCGTTGAATATTTCTCTCTGTAACAGCGAGCATTATATTCTACGCAAGATATTTCGCGCAACGACTCTTGCAATATTTCTGTCGGTGATATGGCGTTGATTGACAATGCGATTTTTCCGATCGAATTGTGTTTACAGGAGTGTCAGTACTACAATATAGTATCCAGAATAACAAGATGCTGGATAGAAGGCCAGGGCGCAGAATGCGAGCAGCGATAATATACTTTTAGATATATCTAGCCGCGCACTGAGGTACTAATAAATAGTATATTTTTAATTATTTCATAATTTTTCATACTAAAAACATATACATCTGAGAGATGAAAAATATACTTATTCAAAGTGTGGGGATTTCCTAATAATATATAATGATAAAAAATATTTTTTAAATAAGAAAATATATACATTTTCTTTTATATATATATATATATATATATATATATATATATATATATATAACCTTAGCTTTTCATGAAAGCACAACTTTCTGTTTATTTTATTTAAATAGAAAAATTTAAACTTAAGCACAAATATGTTACCAATACCTATCGAATTTTTTCATGTTTTAGATATATTTTTTTCTCTCAGTATGTTTCAAATGCTAATAAAAAATAAATAAATAACGAAGAGATTATGAAGAAATTTGTTATTTTGTTTATTCTTCTATTCTTGTTGTTGTGTGTATTAAAATTGAATATTAAGTGATTTTGAAATTCATTTTGAGGAAAGCATATATGAAGAAGATAACATTGAGTGACTATTTGCTATATTAAGATAACATCATATAGTCTGTAAATTGGACAGAATTCGTCGGGTTAACGTGAAACGAAAATTTGTACTTTGGTTACACAAATCCAATTTTCACGTCAAAACGACGAGATGTTGCGACATGTCGTGCAACAACGGCGACCTTTCGATTCCGGAACGTACGATCGATGTCGCACACTCGCGTCCTATTATCGTCACTTCCGGCGACGCTGGAAAAGGAGGTGGAGGAGAAGAGCTCGAAGACGGCTTGAGAATTCGAGAACGATACGCGATCTACGATGCTGCCGTAACGTAACACGTCATCGTCGTCGTCGTCGTCGTTCTCCTCCTCCTCCTCCTCCTTCTCCTCCTCCTCCTCCTCCTCCT